CGGGTGTGGGGTGATGGGTGGTGTGTTTCCCTTCCCCTCCTCCTCCTTTCGTTCCCACTGCTGCAGCTGCCGCTGGGGGGGAGGGTGTGAGGGTGTGGGGAAGCCCGGGGAGTGGCATTGGGGTGGCGGATGTGAGACAAACCAGCCCCCGTCCCTCTGAGGTGGGGGGGGGGGGGGGGGGGGGGGGAGGAGAGTAAAGGGGTGGCAGGAGTGCCTGTCCCTTTGCTGCTGTACCTGCTCTGTTACCGTGCCTGCTGTTGCTGTTGTCGGTATACCCCTGCAGGTTGTGTTATGCACAAACTCTTGCTGCAGGTAGTTATGGGGGAGTGTTAGAATATATCTGTAACTGCCTGTAGCTGTAGTTTAGTGTAGTTATTATAAACTGTTGGTGGTGCACCTTCTTTGCATGCTCTGTTTGCTATATGTACCTTCTTGCTATAGTGAACATCATTCCTCCTCTCAACTTTCTCGACTCCACCTTGGCACAAACTACCTCGATCCTCCTTGGGCCTAGGCTCCTAAGCCTAGGCCCCTTCCTAAACCTAGTATCTTACTCCTCCTGATTCTGATAAGAACCGCACGCCAACCGAGGATAGCTGGGTGCCCCTGGCCCACATCGAAAACCACCCTGCCCTGCAAGTGTATGTGAAGAACCGGGGTTTCCGCGATATACACGCATTCGCGTAGCGGAGGGGGCTTCTTGAGGGAGGGGGGGGGGGGGGGTAGTGTAAGGAATTTTTTCGACAGCAACATCACGTACAGCAGCAGCCATCGTTCGCCCGTTACTGCTAACGGGGCTTCGCCGTCTTCGCGCACACTGTTTCACCAAACTTTGCACTGCTGGCCCGGCCGTGTCAGCCTGCGCTTCGGGATTAGCCCGAGCCTCGCTGCCAGCGTAGCACTGGCTAGCTCGCACGCAGCGCGTTACCGTTTGCATGTTTCGTGTATAAATGTTCGATCATGCCTTCGCTCACATTTTGCACTCGTTTGACCCCTTACTGCAATCCTCGCTACCTCGATTCATTGCACCCGTACAGGGCTAATTTTTCGTTTTTAGAAATCTGGATGCCTCCGGGGCCCCCACGTAAAGATACGTAAAATTCCGGATCCGTAGAAAGGCCACCCTTTTTGGTCCGGATTCTATCTAAGGGGTACCCTGACTATGTGTTTCTCTATGAAATACTCTTTGGCCCATAGAGTCATAGCTGCTGCATATTACAAGTGAAGGGCATACTTGAAGAAGTACTCACATAAAATCACACATTTATAGAAGTTCCTGAAACGTTCCTAACAATGGAACAAGCCCACTAGGGCGCTGTTCTTTTGGCAAAATATGGCCTTCGCGGATTCTTCCATCCGCACCAGTGGTGCGTCGGTTCAGGTTGGGCATTGTCCGAAGCTGGGCGCATCAAGGAAACCGAGAAAACCTGCAGAACGGCACTTTTGTGACACTGTAACATAACCTCCCGTTTGTTCAACGCCATTTCCTCTCCAGGCAAATGGTTCGCACCACGGGTTCTACCTCTCGAGGTGGAATCACCTCAAGACCACTGGTGCGGGGGCTGCTTGAAAATTTTCGCCAGATCCTTGTCTGCACGCGTCAACGCCCAATTTGGTTGTTACATTTTTGCCTGGCCATCTTACCGTTGGGCAGATACGATAATGGCTGAGCTGTTCAAACGAGAAGTTTACCTCGGTTAACACTGAACCTTCATGTGTTGCCAAGTCAACCAAAAGGGCAACTGAAGTTAATACGAAATTTACCAATCCACCAACGGTGCGGCGATGAGAGCTCCAACACTGTGAGTGCGAAAACACAAGACAATCGTAAAGTTGGTTTCAGCTGTTTCGGAACGCAGATGAGTCTCACTCAGGGATGCGGCCAATCGATTCCGGCACGAAAGTTTCTAAGGAGCGCCCTTATGCATCCGGATGTCTCTGAGAAATCATCCCAAAAATTGGGCTCGCAAAAACTTACCCCAAGGTTTCCCCCAGGTTACCCCGCTGTAGGTAACCCAAAGGACTCAGTATAGGATACCTGTGGGTAACCTAAAAGTTCGTGGTGACCTCTAGGTTACCCACCCACCGAGGTAACCTACAAGTCACCGCAATGTTTCCACTCCCAGATTGCTGGAGCGAATCAGACGCCACCCTCGTACGCGCCTCGATCAATAATTGGAATAGTACACTCCGTCTGTACACTTTAGTGAATCGGTAAATCGATACTAATAAGTACGTTTTTTATTGGTCATTATTTGTAGCGCAATAATAGAAACAACCACTTCCATTTCATGATGAAAGTAGCGGAGTGACACGAGGACAGCTGTGACTGGTGGAAAAATTCTCGCTGCCACCCAGCGAAACCCATCATCCGATTACCCGATATTGGGAGGCTCGATAACACTTCCAAACTATCGTACGATTTTTGGATATCCGACTTCAGTGTTAAAAACGGCCTTGACTCCCAACCAGATGAGAATCCGAACCTGATGCCGAAGCTCTCTCCGAAGCTTTGGGTTATCCCCTGGGTTACAACGAACTTAGGTAAAACATGATTGGTCCACACCCCTTTCGCAAATGTAAATTGCGATAGTTACAAATTCGCAGCAGTCGCCAGAGCGCAAAGGTAACCTGCGGGCCTGTTGGTGGGAACTTCGGGGTTACCCCCCGAAGGAGACTGGGGGTAACCCACGTTTTCGGCGCGATTTTGGCCTCGAGATTTTTGGGATGATACCCTTTATGAGTCCGGATGATTCTGAGTTCAGACCCCTAAAAATCCGGATCTCTGACGCAAAAAATTCCGGAATGTTGACGAAATTCCGGATGTGCACCCTGCTACCGTGAGCCCTGCACCCGTAACAGGGAAGAAAGCATGACACCACCAGCAGCGTCGTTGAGAGTCATTGTGCTTCGTTTGAAAGTAGTCGTGCGTCGTTTGAGTCATCGTACTGTTACTGTATTGCGACTTAGGCATTCCACCTGACCCTCACGACCAAGCAGGAACCTCAACGACCATAGTCGCGCCAGCAAGGCAGAGAGCAGCGAGCGATGACGATGAGCAAATGTGGGAGCAAAGTGAGGCGGAGAAGGGAAGACTTTAGATTCATCGTCCGTTCTACATACTATTGATTTCACGAGGTACCACCCTTTTGTGCTTCGCAATAGCAGCCAGTTTCTCTAGAATATATCTCCGAGTGGCTCGGCATTTTTGTCATTTTCTTTTCAAATCTACCGACGTTCCCCTGCTACTACAATCTCTATATGGCTTCTCACAAACAGCATTCGTTGCTTTATGAGAAACCGCCTTATCAATGGGCTTCTCTTCTCCTACCATTGCTCCTCCTCACTATACCCGTAACGCTCTCCCTCCCCACCAACGCTGGTAAGCAAACGGCCATACTACACCACTGCGCTCCGTAGCATGCTATATCTGATGCACCTCAAAAACAGGCTCGTAGCGTCCTATATCTGAGACGCCTCAAAATCAGGCTCATAGCGTCCCTTTGTAATACATCCTTGGCCTAGTATGCTCCCTCCCTTCCCCCACTCACTCCCATTTCGACTTCTCTCCCTGGCCCTGCTCTCCCTGGCCCTGCTCTCTCAGCCAATGACGCGCAGCTGCCTGTATTGATGCCTGCACGCTCAACAACTTGTCCGCCTTCCCTCCCCCTTCCCTTGTCATTTCCAAATCTCCCGCACGCTCCACCGCACCCCATGTTTCCCCTGCTCTGCCGCTCCGTGCCGCCTCTTTCCCCCCCCCCTCGTCCTGTTTCCCCCCATCCCCCGCAGCTTCCCCCTCCCATGCCTCCGCGATCTACATCGTCCGCCTTCGCTCTGCGCCGCCCATTGCGTCGTATCGCGGGGGATTTGCCGGCTACCCGGCAACGGCCGCCTGGGACAGCGACCCTAACGCCAACGCGGCAGGCGCCGCTTCAGACGATGAGGCCAGCGATGGCGTTGGCGCGGCTTCTGTTGCAAGCAACGGTGGCGTTGGCACTGCGTCTGTCACTCCTGCTGCTGCTTCTGCTGCTGCTGCTGCCACTGCTGCATCCCAAAACGCGGGGGTTTCGTTTCTTACCACCTGGCAACATTGGGGTAACATTTCGGTAGGTTTTCCAACACCTACTCCAAAGATTGTGGCCAACATTCCCTCTCGTTACTTTGAAATGACTCGGCTTCAACAGAAACTTCTCGGAATCTAAACCACTGAATCTCAGCCGTTAATCTCATCTACACCTAAATCTTGCTTTATCGTAACTTTGAAATGACTGACCAATCGGAGCTCGTTACTTGGTCTGCAGGGATGGGCTACCGCGGTGAACCCAAGCGCCATCGACTTCATCGTATTGGTTCGCGACAGATTGTTCTTATTGGTTGCGACATCAATCCGGCGATTACATGGAGTCTACCTGGTTACGATTCTAGTTACGCATACACTCAAACGTAGAATGCAATTATCCTATGCGCATATCAATAAACAGTTGTTACGGCGCTACTACGTTACTTTGTTACTACATATTGTAACAATACATTTTTGAAATTATAATTTTACCGTACACGCGAATCACATTTTTAAAATAGTTTTATAAATTATATATTTAATATAAATCTGGATATATTTCCAGATTAATATGCACTCGTTTTTCAGCAAGACGAGTGCTACAGTAATAATTGAGGACCTTCCTCAACTGCTATTACCCATCAAGCACCACGCCATACTCAAATATCATCCAGACCCTCCTGGCTAATAAAAACGCCACAGTCCGAGCACGAAAAGCGCCAGGCATTGTTGGCACTGTCCCACCAGGGACCCATAGCATTGGTGCTCGTGTCGACTGCGTCTCGCGCCCAACGTCGCACGTTGTTGTGGTACAGCACAACACCTTCTCTGTTCCTTGTCGTGCTGCGGGGCAATTCTTCCCCATGTATGATCTTGTGCTCTACCTGCATGGACATAAGGAGGCATTGATGAATTACAACTAGTATGCGCTACACTCAATTCAGAAAAGGACGTCACACTCACTCACCCCATACAGCCAAAAAGCAATCTGTTTGAGCTTCAGCACAAGGACATCCTCCCCATCGCGGCGGAAAGACGCCGCAATCAAGCGCGTGAAGACAGCGTTGGAGAAAGGGACCCCGTTCTGGTTGCAATGCCACGTGTACAGATCGTAAGACCCATCGACTGCACACACATTCAGGCATTGCAAAACAGATGGGATTGCATAACAGAAGCAACATAGGGAGAGAAGATGGGGCCGGAGTAAACAGAAGGGGGATGAGAACCATATTCCAGCCAGCGCCCCTGACTCTCATTCAGCTGTTGGTTTTGTCACTGAGCAGGGGAAGGGAAGGAGAGAGGAGTGAAGGGGGGTGGGGTGAGGTTATTGCATAGCCTCGACTACAGCTGGCGATACAAGGCATGGAACAGGGAGTCTACTCACAAGGATTTGGGGAAGGCACATAAGAGAGAGGAGGGAAGTGGGAGTTGAGACAAGGTGGGATGAGAACAGAGTCTTCAGCACCCTCCCTTGAATCGCCTGTGAGCACTATGCTGGCGGTTTTTCACATAAGGACGGGAAGGAGAGAGGGGAGTGGAGTAGAGGAGGGTGGGGTGGAGGATTGCGTAGCCTCGACTACACCCGGCGATACCAGCTGTGCACCAGTGGGACTGCTGAGATATGGGGTGAGAAGGGTTTAGGGGAGAGAGAAGGGAAGCAGGTGTTGAGAGAAGGAGGTGGGGGGTGAGAACAAATTCCTCAGCAACCTCCCCTGAATCGCCTGTGAGCACTATGCTGGCGGTTTTTTTCAATGAATAGGGACGAGAATGAGAGAGGGGAGTGGAGGAAAGGGGGTTGGTGTGAGGTGATTGCTTAGCCTCGACTACGGATGGCGATACAAAGCATGCACCTGTGGGGCTGCTGAGATGTGGGTTGAGTTATAGGGGAGAGAGAAGGAAAGCGGGTGTTGAGGTGGAATGAGAGCGAAATTTCTAGCATGCTTATTGATATCTCCTGTGAGCATCACTGCTGGTGGCTTAGTTCACTGAGAGGGACGGGAAGGAGAGAGGGGAGTGGAGAGAAGGGTGGTAGGGTAAGGTTATTGCCTAGCCTCAACCACAGCTGGCGGAAAAGGCATGCAGTACGAGGCCTGCTAACAGGGATATGTAGTGAGAAGGCAGGACAGAGAGAAGGGAAGCGGGAGTTGACGTAAAGGGGGTGTGATAAAAACGTTTTGAACTTTTTTGTTTCATAAAGCTCTCCTGAATCTCCTGCGAGCAATCTACAGGCGGTTTTATTGATTGAGCAGGGGAAGGGAATGAGTGACGGGAGTGGTGAAGGGGGTTGGGTGGTGAGGTGATTGCCTAGTCTCGACTACTTCTGGCGATAGAAGGCATGCAGCAGGGAGGCTGCTCACAGGGATATGGGGTTGCGAAGGCAGGGGAAAGAGGACGGGAGCGGGAGTTGATGGATGGAGGTTGGATGAAACGGGTTTCTTTCAGCACCCTCCCCTGAATCTCCAATTAGCACTTTGTTGGCAATTTTTTACCTGAGTAGGGGACGGGAAGGAAAGAGGGGAGTGGAGTGAAGTGGGGTGGGGTGAGGTGATTGCCTTGCCTCGACTACAGGCATGCAGCAGCCAGGCTGCTCACATGGATATGGGATCAAAAACATTTCCTTCCAGGTAGTGGGGCAACAGAGACATACCTGGCTTGTATTGCACTTTCCACGCCTCGATCAAGGTGGAACCCATGAGCTTGCGGTTTTGGTCGGGGCGTTGAATGTACAAGTCAAACGCTCTGTAAATACCGCATCGACCGGTATGCAGAATGACATGCCGTCCATCCTGCAGCTTGTTGCGGATATAGCCGCGTCGAACTGGGTCAAAAAGATACACATGAAGCAGGTCGGTCCGCTGACCAACCGTCTTGTACTTCAAAGCAGCAGCAAGCGCTCCCAGCAGCACCTTCCGAGATGGCCAAAAGTCCATCCTACCATCCGGCATATCCCAGAAAAGAACGGTGAGTGCATCCAACATTGCCACCTGGTGACAGTGGGGAAGTAACACACGCAGCATGTTGAGGATGTGTTACATTGAAAACCAAGATACGAGATAGAGAAACTGTTGCCTGCGTAAGCATGAGAGGCAAAAAACATAAGAATGTGGATGGCGTGCCAGCATGGAAGGTGCTTACATAAAGCCCTTTGTTGACCTCGGGGACTCGCCTCATCGCTGCAGCAAGGTCGAATGCGAGGACCTCCTGCTCCGGGGTCAAGTGTTGCAGGCCATGCTCGGTTCCCCGGGCGTGAGCGTTCCCAACGGCCCTCCCAAGCAGCCGATCGTTGATCGGTATGATGGGATGCCTTCCTGGCTGCACATTAGCTGCGACATTCCCAGAGTTTGGAGACGGTTCCTGCTGCTCGCTCGCACCACCAGAGGTCTCAGCAGGTGACGTTGACCGAGAAAGCGAACGCCTAAGCTCTTCAAGCTCATTCAACAGCCGCTGGTTCTCACGCTGGAGAGCACGATGTGCGGCACGCGCCTCTTCAACATCAGAGGTCGGTTCTGCCACATGCCCGTGCAGTTCATGATCAGCAGCGTGTGTAGTGGCCCGCCCATACGCATCTCCTGTCTGACCGCCCACAGCATCACCGGCCTCGGTTCCACCAGCGTTCGGGATGAGCGGCTCGTCTGCTCCAGAGTTGGTCCAGGTCCTCCCATTGGCCTCGCCAAAGTGGCCGCCAAGCTCGGCGCCTCCAGGCGGGGAGAACACGCCGTTAGTGTTGGTGTCGTCGGGGATGCGCCTCGCGGTTGGCCTTAGCAGGACGCCAGCAGCAGGATTGGCGTCGGTCCTCCAAGCAGCCTGGCCTAACACGCCATCAACAGCAGGGTCGGCAGAGGTCATGCCAGCAGACGGGCAGAAAGGGGCGTCCGGAACCGGTTCGCATGACGGCAGGAACATGCTGCCATCATGGGTCTCAGTGGAGGTGTGCCCAGCAGCTATCGTGCGCATCTCGTCAGGAGCATGGTCGGCTGTAGGTCTTCCAGCGGTCTGGACCAAATGAGCGCCAGTAGGAGTGTTGGCAGAGCTCCACCCAGCCACTTGTCCCAGTTGGCCCCCAGCTGAAGGGTCAGCGGATCTCCTCCCATCCTCGTGCCCTGACCGACAACCTGATGCAGGGTCAGGAGAGCTCCTCCCAGCGGCCTGGCTAAACGGACCGCCTAGTGCAGGATCACGAGAGCTGTTCAATGCGGTTTGCCCCAACGAACCACCAGGTGCAGGATCGCCGGAGGTCAGACCCGCAGGCTGGCGGAACAAACCGCCAGATGGAGGGTCAGGAGAGCTGCTCCCAGCGGCCTGGCGCAGCTGACCGCCCGGTGCAGTGTAGGCCGAGGTCGTCCCTGCAGCGTGGCGGAACTGCTGACCTGTGCCAGCAGCAGCAGACGTCAACCCAGCGGTCTCGCCAAGCAGCCCGCCAGATGCAGCAGCGGCGGTGTTGCTCCCTGCAGCGTGGCGGAACTGCTGGCCTGCGTCAGCAGCAGCAGACGTGCGCCCAGCGGTCTCGCCAAGCAGCCCGCCAGATGCAGCAGCGGCGGTGTTGCTCCCTGCAGCGTGGCGGAACTGCTGGCCTGCGCCAGCAGCAGCAGACGTGCGCCCTGCGGCATTGGCGGAACTCTGGCGGGCCGCCTGACCTGCTCGCCGCCCACCCGACCGGCCCTGACTTCCGGAACGCAGAGAATGGTGAGCAGATGGCGTTCCCACGCCATTGACGTGAGCGGAAGTCGCATCACCACGCGAGGCCGGGATTTGTGGAGCATGACCACTGGTGTTGAGCGGCCCATTCTCCTCGTGACGCGGCTGACTTCCTACCGCGTCGGAAAACACAGCGTGTAAGGAGCGCGTCCGAACAGGATCTGCACAAATGAGATCCAGCAACAATGTGTCAATATCTCTCATTGGCCTGCGGAATCAACACAAGGAAGCTAGAAACAGAGCGTAAAATGGTGTGCAAAAAAACAACATCAAAAAGCTCACTTTTCGGAGAAGATGGTCGAGCCGCCACGTTGATACCGAGAGAGGTAGCATGTCCCATCGATGCAGCACGAATTGCCTGGGTTCCGGGCATCGCAGGAAACCGGCCATTTTGGCGACGCCCGCGGATGGAAGAGATTAGGGCGGAAGCAGTTGCGTTAGACTGTTCCATGACAGAAGAAGTAGAGAAGCTTTGAAGAGTGATTCTCGGTAAGTTTGTGCGGAAAATGAGGCGGACCCGCCATTATATACTACGAAAATAGCGTGACTCCTGGTGAGACGGTGGAAAGTAAGGCTCGTCACTGAATCAGGCTTGGGAATGAGGTGCGGTGAGGCAACGCGCCGGCAGCAGTTGACGATCCGTAGCAAAGCTGAACTGGACGCAAGGCCTGGTGGCAATCTGTGGTAATGACTGTGTCACTGAATCAGGCTTGGGAAGGGAGGTGAGGTATGGAAACGCGTTCGCAGTAGGTGACGTTCCCTTACTCAGTTGACAACTGGACGCTAGGCCTGGCGGATATCTGGGGTAAGTGGCTGTGGTGGTCGGCCAGGGTTGGTACCGAACGCTAGGCATGGTGTAAGGTGAGGTTAGTAGCTATGGTCGTGGGCTAGGGTTGGCACAGAGTTCTCAAGTTTGAAGTCTCAAAATTCAAACAGCCGAACAGAGCAGATAGAGCAAGGCCAAGGGTTTGAAAACGTCGAGCAAGGAGATGGACAAGGAACAACGCCCAGGGTTGTTTCAGGGCTCGCGTGAAGCTCTCCTAGCCCTCGATAACGAAACCCTCAGCACATCCAACCGCTGAGGTTGAGTTCATGAACCTCTCGTGTTAGACGCGGATGCCATCAGGGAAACTATTGTCGGAACCTCTAGGTAGGTTCAGAATTGTTTGAAAAACAAACCATTTAGGTATATAAAACGATAAACAATCACTCAAAAGGTCCAGTTGAAAACCATAACATTTCGGGAACGACAACTTATTGGGGTGGCGAATGTATAGCATCACCAGTGTATCAGTTTCTGGGAATAAAATTTGCAACACAAATAAACGCACCGTCGAAACGGCATCATCCGCAGTCCAGGTCTGTACACACACGGTTTCACATCATTCGACGTCCAGACCTGCGTAACTCGTTTGCCAGTCGTGCGAATGGCACCAAACTGATTTGACACCCTTCTATTATCATTCATGACTCAGTGATGAGAAGAACACTTGCAAAAATAATAAAAGCAACGTCGAAACGGCATCATCTGCAGTCCAGGTCTGTACTCGCGCGGTTTCACATCATTCGACGCTCACAACTGCGTCACTCTTTCGCCAGTCGTGCGAATGGCACCAATATGATTTGACACCCTTCTAATATCATTCATGACTCAGTGGTGTGAAGAAACCTTGCAAACATGAGCAACGCAGCGTCGAAACGGCATCATCTGCAGTCCAGGTCTGTACTCGCGCGGTTTCACATCATTCGACGCTCAGAACTGCGTCACTCATTTGCCAGTCGTGCGAATGGCACCAAGATGATTTTATACCCTTCTAATATCATTCATGACTCAGTGGTGTGAAGAAACCTTGCAAAAATGAGCAACGCAGCGTTGAAACGGCATCATCTGCAGTCCAAGTCTGTACTCGCGCGGTTTCACATCATTCGACGCTCACAACTGCGTCACTCTTTCGCCAGTTGTGCGAATGGCACCAAGATGATTTGACACCCTTCTAATATAATTCATGACCTAGTGGTGTGAAGAAACCTTGCAAAAATGAGCAACGCAGCGTCGAAACGGCATCATCTGCAGTCCAGGTCTGTACTCGCGCGGTTTCACATCATTCGACGCTCACAACTGCGTCACTCTTTCGCCAGTCGTGCGAATGGCACCAATATGATTTGACACCCTTCTAATATCATTCATGACTCAGTGGTGTGAAGAAACCTTGCAAACATGAGCAACGCAGCGTCGAAACGGCATCATCTGCAGTCCAGGTCTGTACTCGCGCGGTTTCACATCATTCGACGCTCAGAACTGCGTCACTCATTTGCCAGTCGTGCGAATGGCACCAAGATGATTTTATACCCTTCTAATATCATTCATGACTCAGTGGTGTGAAGAAACCTTGCAAAAATGTGCAACGCAGCGTTGAAACGGCATCATCTGCAGTCCAAGTCTGTACTCGCGCGGTTTCACATCATTCGACGCTCACAACTGCGTCACTCTTTCGCCAGTCGTGCGAATGGCACCAAGATGATTTGACACCCTTCTAATATAATTCATGACCCAGTGGTTTGAAGAAACCTTGCAAAAATGAGCAACGCAGCGTCGAAACGGCATCATCTGCAGTCCAGGTCTGTACTCGCGCGGTTTCACATCATTCGACGCTCACAACTGCGTCACTCTTTCGCCAGTCGTGCGAATGGCACCAATATGATTTGACACCCTTCTAATATCATTCATGACTCAGTGGTGTGAAGAAACCTTGCAAACATGAGCAACGCAGCGTCGAAACGGCATCATCTGCAGTCCAGGTCTGTACTCGCGCGGTTTCACATCATTCGACGCTCAGAACTGCGTCACTCATTTGCCAGTCGTGCGAATGGCACCAAGATGATTTTATACCCTTCTAATATCATTCATGACTCAGTGGTGTGAAGAAACCTTGCAAAAATGTGCAACGCAGCGTCGAAACGACATCATCTGCAGTCCAAGTCTGTACTCGCGCGGTTTCACATCATTCGACGCTCACAACTGCGTCACTCTTTCGCCAGTCGTGCGAATGGCACCAAGATGATTTGACACCCTTCTAATATAATTCATGACCCAGTGGTTTGAAGAAACCTTGCAAAAATGAGCAACGCAGCGTCGAAACGGCATCATCTGCAGTCCAGGTCTGTACTCGCGCGGTTTCACATCATTCGACGCTCACAACTGCGTCACTCTTTCGCCAGTCGTGCGAATGGCACCAATATGATTTGACACCCTTCTAATATCATTCATGACTCAGTGGTGTGAAGAAACCTTGCAAACATGAGCAACGCAGCGTCGAAACGGCATCATCTGCAGTCCAGGTCTGTACTCGCGCGGTTTCACATCATTCGACGCTCAGAACTGCGTCACTCATTTGCCAGTCGTGCGAATGGCACTAAGATGATTTTTTACCCTTCTAATATCATTCATGACTCAGTGGTGTGAAGAAACCTTGCAAAAATGAGAAACGCAGCGTTGAAACGGCATCATCTGCAGTCCAGGTCTGTACTCGCGCGGTTTCACATCATTCGACGCTCACAACTGCGTCACTCTTTCGCCAGTCGTGCGAATGGCACCAAGATGATTTGACACCCTTCTAATATAATTCATGACCCAGTGGTGTAAAGAAACCTTGCAAAAATGAGCAACGCAGCGTCGAAACGGCATCATCTGCAGTCCAGGTCTGTACTCGCGCGGTTTCACATCATTCCACGCTCAGAACTGCGTCACTCATTTGCCAGTCGTGCGAATGGCACTAAGATGATTTTATACCCTTCTAATATCATTCATGACTCAGTGGTGTGAAGAAACCTTGCAAAAATGAGAAACGCAGCGTTGAAACGGCATCATCTGCAGTCCAGGTCTGTACTCGCGCGGTTTCACATCATTCGACGCTCACAACTGCGTCACTCTTTCGCCAGTCGTGCGAATGGCGCCAAGATGATTTGACACCCTTCTAATATAATTCATGACCCAGTGGTGTGAAGAAACCTTGCAAAAATGAGCAACGCAGCGTCGAAACGGCATCATCTGCAGTCCAGGTCTGTACTCGCGCGGTTTCACATCATTCGACGCTCAGAACTGCGTCACTCATTTGCAAGTCGTGCGAATGGCACTAAGATGATTTTATACCCTTCTAATATCATTCATGACTCAGTGGTGTGAAGAAACCTTGCAAAAATGAGCAACGCAGCGTTGAAACGGCATCATCTGCAGTCCAGGTCTGTACTCGCGCGGTTTCACATCATTCGACGCTCTCAACTGCGTCACTCTTTCGCCAGTCGTGCGAATGGCACCAAGATGATTTGACACCCTTCTAATATCATTCATGACTCAGTGGTGTGAAGAAACCTTGCATAAATGAGCAACGCAGCGTCGAAGCGGCATCATCTGCAGTCAAGGTCTGTACTCGCGCGGTTTCACATCATCCGTTGTTCAATACTACGTCATTAGTGCGAATGGAACCATCTTGAGTTGACGCCCTTTTTATATATTAATAGTGACACCTGGTTTTATACTAATGAGTACTCATGATTGTCTTCATATGTAACGTTGTTTATGGAAATATCAAGGTTTTTAACCGTTTTGTAACGAGGGTGTTGACATGCTGGTTGGTTGACGGCTCTCTTTCCGTTGTTGTTGGTCACGAACGTGTGCTTGTTCGAGCGTGTTGCCAGGCAGGTGTATTCAACAAACTTCACAACAAACTTCACGTAGCCTGACTTGCTGGGCCTGCGGGGACTAGGCTCTCAAGTTCAATCTCTTCTTCAAATACGCACGATAGAACGAGAGCAGAGCACCACCTGTTCATTACCTGCTGACTTAGTAGTCATCACAATTCCCGCCGATTTTTTCACGGTTTCTACGTGTTTTTAGAGGACACGATAACGACTGCAACGCGATAGTTAATTACCAACTCCAGCATCAGATCGGCAGAGCACCACCCGTTCATTCCCATCTGTTATCAGCGTCTTCTCGGAGTTCCTTCAGCCTGTTACGAGACGCTGGTATTCGTTTTCCGTAACGATACCGACTTCACAAGTGATACGGTATTTTACTAGCATGGCGCGCGCCCGGTTACACGCCTCTAACAAGCGCGACTCAGTAAATGACGTTAAGATGCTAAGTTTACAAAACAGTCCGTGGCGTAACCTGTCCAAATGCACCTCCGAACGCAACCTGTCCAAGCTGTGAGCCACAAATCTGAACGGACGTCGTCACAAGCCGCGAGACGACTAAGGCGCGCTGGCACTACAGGGCACCTATTTTTCAAACAACAAAACCTACGAGCATAATCACGCCATGTATTCTGAAAAAACACCACTTAAGCTTGACAATGCCTGATGGGACATGTATTCTGCTGTTGTTATTC